TACGACTTCTACTGGTGAGGCCGAAGAAGATGTTGAGGGCATAACTAGAGGGTGGTTTCAGAAGAGTAGGGCTAGGCCCATATCCAAACAAGCCTGAATAATCCCATCAATGAACATGGCCAACTTTGCAATGCTCCCCCTCATAAAAAACGAAGACCGCATACTCGACTCACTCTGATACCCATGAAGGTGGTCTTGGACCAGGCTCGAACCATATGCCATCGGGGGGGAGACAATGCATGTATGTTCTTTTGTTACATATCCTAACAGATGCGTCCCATACTCGTACTATCACCACCCATATCCGATATCCTAGCAAACTCTACTCTAAGGAGAACAAGAGACGGCAGGGCCATGTGACTAGACGAGCGAACAACTATGTGGAGTGAAAGCCTACAGTGAGCTGCCACTATGCGGAACAAGCCTCTGATGGGTGATGGTGCGACACCACAGCGTCCCAGTTGAAATCACCAATGACCACACTGGGTACGCCACTACCACCTCAGTGTGTCTTATGATTGATCGTAGTTTCGCTCACTGCCCGGCTCATCCTTCCCATCATTCATAACCCGCAATTAGATTCCAAACTTTATTATTGTCTAGAGCCAAGCAATAGTGCAAACTCTACGCTGAAACAAATACGACATCGTCAACGTAGAAACGCTAAACAGCAAATAACCCTAGACCAAACTAGATTACTTTATGGACGCTTCTTACCACACCGAACAGCCATGGGGCATACAAGACCCAGCCGAGCTAGAGAAGATACCACTTCTTTGCGAACATGATGAAACCTACCAATCAAGACCCTGAAACACAAAGAAGAAGTTCGGTTACGATTACAACTACACAATCAAAAGGAGGCCTGTAAACACTTATCCACAATGGATGCTGGAGACCTCTTATAGACTATGACGATGAACTGTCCATGAACACAGTTCGACGTTGTACAAGACCACACCCTATGCTCTCAATATAGATTGTGATGCAACAATGGAGTTTCACTCTGGTGATAACAACGCTAGTGAAAAACATATTTTACGACTACTACAGGCTGCGAATATCGCGCTTTTCACCGAGTTTTACGCCACTTCACGTAAAACGAGTGAAGCTCCAATGATACACTTCCGACACAAGAAGTCTCATCCTAAAGCGAGTTTACTCCAGAGCATATCCTTCTATCGGGATGAACAGTTGACAAGCCGCGATCCCCCATACGTAACCCAACACAACTCGCGTAAATTGTGCAAAGTCCCGTAGCCTCAGCAGCCGACTACTCAGTAGAGCTCTTCCAACAACCATCAAACTGCCACGTCAGCAGTTTAGTTCCTCTGGGGAGCACCGCGGCGAGGAGGGGCCTCACGGACGCGACGGTTCTCGGCGGAACGCACACGAACGACACGAGCGTGAATAGCGCAGGAAACGCAGTACACCTGCCAGAGAGCAACTCATATCTACAAAGGAGGCTGTGAGGTGATCCTTACCTGCTTGATGAAAAGCTTAGGGAGGGCGTAAGACTGGTAGACAGAGGCCTCGCGGATATCCCTCTGGGAAGAGGCATCGACGATGTTCCTCACATTGAAGCGCTTGATGGCCTTATCCTAAACACAATAAGGATGAGATCCCTCGATCATACATAGTAAGCTCATTCCACTGGCAATTCACCACTTCCTAGAGTGGCAATCCATGGTGAAAGCATTCAAGATGAGAAGCATTACCATACGCACTTATCAACAACAACAACAACCCCATAGTCCAAATTAATACCTTAGGGACGGCCCTGGCACAGTTGGAGCACCTCAAGATGCAGGTATGGCCGCGTCCGTGCTTAGAACGTCCGTTATTACGACGCTTAGTAGGCATGCTGAGTCTCGATCGGAGGTAGGGGCTGATCTAGGGCCTTTCAAGGGCTCGCTGCAACTTTATCGATCATCTGGGCGAGCGAGATTTTAGACTTCCAAAAATTCACGCTATCCTTGGATAGATCGTATGGGCGAGCGAGTCCTTTCCTTTTGGTCACTCTTGCCTTCCCGGTTGCTGTCCGCCCGTCGTAGGATATGTCTTACAACGCTGTAAAGGAGGAGCGCTGCCAAACCTTTGGCCGCAAGAAGAACGCTGTTGCCGTCGCCCTTGTCTCTACTGGCAAGGGTATGATCCGTGTCAATGGTATGCCCTTGGATCAGGTAATTATCAAACGGGTTCTCTTGGTGTAGGACATCGTTATTGAATCGATCGTTTGTGGTCAATTTTGGGTGGATTGGTATGTAGAGCATTGTCATTAGGTGAACCCTCCTACCCTTCGTGTGAAGGCTATGGAGCCCATCCTCCTCCTCGGTGCTGATCGCTTCCAGAACATAGACGTCCGTGTCCGCGTTCGTGGTGGTGGTTACACTTCCCAGATCTACGCCATCCGTCAGGCCATCGCCAAGGGAATCGTCTCTTACTACCAGAAGTGTAATAATCTCGAAAGGGTTGCTTTTGAACCTATTTTGCATTTCCATTCATTTGTATTTTGTTGTAGACATCGATGAGGTTTCCAAGAACGAGATCCGTGACATCCTGATCGCCTATGACCGTTCCCTCCTCGTTGCTGATCCCCGTCGTTGCGAGCCCAAGAAGTTCGGTGGCCATTCCGCCCGCGCACGCTTCCAGAAATCCTATCGATAAATGCTCTACCTGCTTTGTTGCCTTTGCTACTGTACATAGTAGTTATTGTTGCATCTGTTGGTTAACATTTTCGAAGGTGACTGTGAATGCTAGCTGGTTCGATGGTACCCACGACGTTTAACAGCAGCAGTTACGACCGGACAATAATTTTCTGTTTTGTGTTAGTAATCACTGACCGAGAAGATAGAATTGACTTATAATTTGGGATTATCCGCTCCGACTGTGCTTAGGAATGCTTTTGCCGAACCGCTATGGGCATACCTACAATCTTCGAAGGATTGAGTAAAACAAGTTGTTGTGACACTTCATGATGCACGCAAGGTCGGATGGGTCAGACTAAATAATGCAAATGTTCAAAAATTGTGAATATCACTAAACACGTACTTATACAATCAGTCGTTCATGGCGGTGTTTGATTGACCGGGCGTATCAGCTTTGTCAGAGATCCCACCGGTGTCCACAACGGACTCAACAGCGGCACTGAGCCAACCTCTGGCGAAGACTTCCTTGCTTGGATCATTACCGAGGATGCTACCAAGCTTCTCCACTCTAGACGCGTCGGAATCCATCAATCTAACCCTCACTTGGTTGTTGAAGCGGACCTTCTTAGCACAACCTTCGTCACTAGGACCACACACCTCCGCTGGTGATAGGGGGTCCTCTAGTGTCACCTCTTGTTCCCTCGTACCAGAGCATCGATCACTGTCCGAGGAAGTCGCCCTTACCCCATGGGCCACCCTTACGTGCCCGATTATCTCACTAGCAGTACCGCTACACGAGTGTTCACACCACGGGCAATGATAGTGATACCCAACTGCCTCCTCGAAGGCGTCAGGTGTTCGTCGTTGCCGTCTGAAGAATCGCGCTGATTCAGTTGGGCTGTACCGACGAGTCGATTCAGCACTCGGGGAGGCCGAGCCTGTTGCTGGCCATGATGGTCGCCCAGAGAGAGGGGTAGAGCTTCCACTCGCTGATCGTGCTCGCCGCTGAGGGAGTATCCGCTCAGGTTTGCCGCCACGTTCACAGCGACAGGGAAAGCTAGTGACGGCACCAAGGTTGACTCTTTTCGAGAAGTGATCCTTGAAGTAATGCTTCTGCAGGCTCCTAAACCCACACGGTAGAAACGATGCCGTCGTACAAAGAGGGCACTTGAAAACCCCTTCAAAAAGTTGGTTCATAGGATGCTCCAGAGGATGCACAAAAACAGTGTCTGTGTATTGCAGAGGGGACCGCCAAGGCTCAGCAGCCGACTCAGGTTGACTCGGTACTAGCCTCGCTAGGGGAGTCCTCCGATGTAGAGCATTTTGATTATTGGCCATTTACATCAATACCACTGTATGCTACCCTGGTATTCAAGTTAACTCAAAGCTGTTTTACATTAATGAGTATATCCACGAAATATGACGGGAGCTCACCAATACTACCCCTGGTGTAGTGCGATCATCATCATCAGCATCATCAGCAGCTACAGGCAGAAACAATCCCCCTCTACAAAGCGTAGAATTCAAAGTCACGATCCTTCTTGCGGACATGCTCCTTCCAGCCCTAACAAAAGGTCACCAGGGAAGCAGTAGGAGTAGGCTCACCTTCTCAAAGTCCTTCTGCGTCACCACATAACGATTCCTCCTCACAGCTTGCATACCTAATCGATCGGTTCATCCAATGACCCTCTATAGAGTCCTTGCCTGCTTCTTGACATATTGCCGCTATGTCGGCGGCAGATATCTTCTCCGGTCTTGATACAAAGTCCTCGAGATCGACATCTTCAGAAAGGTTCATCTTCCCCGTAATAGTTTGGAAGATAAGCCTAATAGGTATCAATAGAGCAGTACCGTAAAAGCTCTGGGAAGACTACCTCCGCTGCCTCCTGTCAGGTAGTGGGAACTCGATCTTCCTATCGAGCCGACCAGGACGTAACAGTGCCGGGTCTAGTGTATCCGCACGGTTGGTCGCCATAATAACCTACAACATGCCTACGACTACTCCCCACGTATATTCGGTCATGACTACCTTCACAGTAGTGTCTTGATCGAAGCCATCCATCTGATTGAGCAACTCCAATAGGATACGCTGAACCTCTCTGTCGGCACCTGTCGGTGGACCGCTGACCATGATGTGAGAATGATGGCTCACCCGTCTGGGCATCAAATCGCTTAGTGGCAATGGAATCAATCTCATCGATGAAGACGATAGAAGGGGCCTGCTCTCGAGCCAAACGGAATACGTCCCTCACCATCCGTGGACCCTCGCCTGAGCATAACGCCCATGTATGATAGCAAAGCGAATACGTAACTACCTAGGTATTTCTGAACAAACTCTGAGCCGACCATCCTGATGAAGGTGGCGGTAGTATGATTGGCCACAGCCTTAGCTAACATAGTTTTACCGGTACCTACCGGAACATCATGTTAAGACCCCACCACTTGCAAGCTTACCAGGAGGACCATACAGCAAAACACCACTAGGAGGATCGATACCAATCTGAGCATACCTACAGAAGGATTCTTGTACTCGGCTGGTAGCCTTGCATTCCCTTACAGGTCCTTCTGCACTAATGGCAGCTCCACCGCCTCTCTGATCTCCTGTTTCTGTATATCCAAACCTCCTATATCAGCATAAGTCACATCGGGTTTCTCCGTCATAGCAGCCGACTGCACAGTAGAGTCGGCCTCGGGCGGTAGTATTTCCACAACAGCATGTGAATGTCGATGTAAGGCGACAGAGCATCCTGGCTTGAGGTCCTCCCTATTGATGGTGGAGAGGATCCGGACATAGTCACTAGAGCCCTGTGAGCTCTGTATGATGCCGTGCTCAGCATCAATGATCTCAGAGAACTGCCCTATGACCAGAGGGACTGAACGGACTCTCTGAATCTCCTCTCTGGCCCGAACCATCTCCCTCTTCAAGTTTTTAGTCTCATATTTGATGTACCTAACACAGGCCAATGTTACAGCGGCGCGAGACAGAGAAGATGGCAGTCTACTCTTCCTGGATATCTAACTGCTCTAGCTGCTTCTGCAACTCCTTAAAACGCCGGTACCTATCGCGCATGGTCTCGCTGTACAACAACACAGATCGATACATACATATCAATATCATTGCTGGTGCCCATAGCTTGTATACAGTCGCCTGTAGCAAAAGGCGTCCGAGCGGCTACCATTGCCGCTGACATTGTGGGTGATTGCCGACAACTGATACACCCTGACAGCAATACCAAACGGAGCACCCTCTGGAAGTACGTTGCCACTACCAATGGCCCACTCTAGAACATATCCTTCCCCCAAGACCCCCACCTCCAAACGCAACAAGAAGCACATCGATACCTCAATAGCTCGTGCACGTGCTGTTGTCTGTCGAGACGTAGTCATAGTTCCGTCATGAATAATAATGATATAATTAATTCACCATGGTCTGCCATCTTTAATCACGCCTATGTAGCAGAGCAGCGAAGTCCGAATACAGATCATCATATCCTTCCCCCTCCTGGTCAAAGATCTTCTTCACATCAGCAAGAGTCTCATCAGTGCTCTGCTCCTGGGCATTGAGGCGCTTGATGCTCGCCAAGAACTTATCGAAGGTGTCATTAGACAATCTAGAGGACGACCTTATACTAACAAAGAGCGGAACTCAGTCGTAGTCTACCTGGACCTAGCCATCTTGAAGAAGCTTTTACCATCGACGGCACTAGCACGGCCTCCAGCACTATCTCCGCTCACATCCCTCATAGTACTCTGAAAATGATAGATAACTTTAGAGGAATAAAGAAGAGAGGATTCTCACATCTTGGGTCTTCTGCTGCAGCAGGCCAATACCCGATATCGATGAAGTACTGTTATTAACAGGGGAGGTATTGGAGGTTGAGGGCATAGTGTTGGGGAAGGCTCCTGGATTAGAGAGGCCACCGAACTGACTGCCATTATGCTGATTAGAATTGTTGAAGCTGCCGTACACACTCGCTGAAGCCACCGGCTGAGAACACACAGATAATAGCCTGGGAGTCTCCACACTCCACTTACAGTAGTGCACATAGGTGGCGGGGCCGCGGAGGCAGCCATAGGGGCGATACCCTGAGATTACCATAGGTAACCAACAACCAATAGGATTGACTCACTTGAAGGAAGCTCTCTCTCCTGAGGAACCTCGTGTCCGCATACCCATTAGTGTCACCATCGTTCACCCTGGAAAATTCACTCTGGAAAGAGTCCAAGCCGCCAACTAGAGTCTGCTTGAGTCGCTCGAACTGCTCCAACTGCTGGTTTTGCTAAGAGGATTAGAACAGGTCCTTCGACCAAGCGTGAACCACAAGGAAATAATCTCACGGCCCTCAGGTTTTGAATAAGATTCCTATTCTCCTCCTGCAACTTCTTGCACTGTTCCCGCGAGTCGATCAGCTCCACGTCCAAAGTATTAGCCCTCTTCATGGTTTGCATGTGCTACGGCAAGGGACTGGACAGCGAGAGGAAGATGTAGTGACTTACAGCAGCCTTCTCTTGATCAAGACTCAATCGCTGTGCACGGACATCGTGCTCCAAGGACTGCATCTTCGACCTGCAGTAGTCCCCATTGGGTAGTAGAAGAAGATGACTTCTCTCGACCTACATGTAGGCATTCTGTATGACCTTGATGCCAACGCCGAAACACTCATCAGGAGAGTCGGGCAGCTGGATGTTACGCTTGGTAGAGTGATCAACAGACATAAGGTAAGTGGTTGCACTACAAGAGAGTACATTAGCAGTAGCCACCAAAACTAGACGCATCCATTTATCCACGAAATGGTACAAACGATTATGTTAGTCACAAAGTTAGATATCATATCATTCAATTCAGCTTCACGGTAACCGCGGAACCATCAAGCCCTGCCTCACGAACAGTAAGACTGAGATCAGTCAGTGGCTTAGGAGGAAAGCCGCATGCCAGTGTTAGAGCGGTAGAGTCAGCTCCGATGCAGGAGGCAGCGAAGGCTACCACATCCGAGACTCTATGAGAATCCAGGTTGAACTTCTGTACCTTCCGTTGGCCATCAGGGAAGCGGAACTGGATAGTAGCTAGAGGCTTCGAGTTGTCCAAATCCACTGTAGTGCCAGTGTGAGTCTCTACCTTAGGACCAGCACTACCACCCAAAGTCTGACCATGACCAGCGAATAGACCACCATGGTCGTCACTATTGGTAGTAGCCTCAGTAGTAGGGCCAGTGTAATCCTCGTCCTTCTGATTCACCATCACTTGAACCTCACGCATGTTCTGACCAGATGCCACCACTGCCTCCTGAATCTCTAGCGGAGCGATGCCCTGACGCATATCCTGCAAGGCCCGGGCATTCTCCGGTATGGATGTATCTCTGAAAGGACCCCCATTCACTTGGAAGCCGTTACGATAGACAGTGACAATGAAACGGTTGTCTGGAGGCTTCTGACCAGGCTCGGGAGGATTGAAGACGGCCAGACCTGACTTCTCTCCCCCAGTGAAGGAGCTGGTTGCATTAGGGTCGTTGTCATGCTGCTGACCATCGTCCGAGTCGAACAGACTTCGAATGTTGGACATATCCCAAAGAGAACTAAAACTAGTATGATCATCGAGTACACCGAGGAAGCTCGGGCCCGCTCAGCCTCCTATCGCAAGACGCAAAATCCAACCTCACCTAACGAGAATGAGCTCACATGGGTACGCCTGAAAACTGCCCATGGATAGGAGTACGAAGACGATGAACCGACCTAGCGTGACCTCACCTTTTACCTCAAGTCGATAGCCTATAACGTCATGCATCTCCCTATGCAGTTCATCGCGCTGAGATGGACCTATCGTGATGGGCCCGTTCCGTAACTGTCACCACCGACTGCTTGCTTGTTGCTACCGCGGGCGCGCGCGTATTTTCTCAGCGGAGCGAAACGGACGATGCTCGCAAGATTCACTTTAAACACAGTGATTGATTGCTCCTTTCGTACAAGTATGGGGAATCAGCCCAGTAAGCTGACCTTGGAGGAACAGATGCGCGCTAATAAGCGCATGATAAACCGGGCCGTTAGGGAGCTCGATCGGGAGAGGATGGGACTGCAAAGGAATGTACTGGCAGGAGACTTGTTATGGTGTAGGGCATCTTGGGGGGCATTTTAGGAACAAAAATTAATTACCGATATCAAGCAAGCTGCTAAAAAGAACCAGATGGGGCCAGTGAAGATCATGGCTAAGGACTTGGTACGATTGCGTTGGTCCTATGGGAAAAAGGTTGCCAGTGTTGGTGGCCAGGTCAGGACTCGTCGATACGAGTCGAAGTTTATGGAAATGAAGTCACATCTACAAGGGGTTAGCTTGAGGATGCAGACCGTTAAATCAACAGAGGCAATGGCGCGGAGTATGAAGGGCTGCACACAGGCTATGGTAGTACTATCATCCCGAGGTAGAGGGGTACAATCTAATCTCTAGGCTCGTATGAACAAACAACTTAATCTACCCCAACTGCAGAAGATAATGCAGGAGTTCCAGGAGGAGACTGAGAAGATGGGCTTGACTGAAGAGGTAGTAGTAGGGTCAGGAAGTCAGAAGTCGGATATACTCGTACAGGTCATGGGTGACACTATTGACGATGTCCTTGGTGAAGTCGGAGATGAGGAAGAGGAGGAGGCCATTGTTGGCCAGGTGTTGGAAGAGATTGGTGTTGATATGAACGAGGTCTTGGCTAACGCTCCAGGATCAGCATTACCGGCGGGTAACAATTCCATCAGATCCCAGGTTCGATCCCATCATGATGCATTTTGGTATAGGTCAGAAGGCTTCAGTGGGTGTTGGCAAGAAAACTCAGCAACAGGCTGTGGCTGAGGGTGCGGCTACCGCTTCTGGTAGGACTAGTGGAAGACAGGACAATAAGGAGAATAACAGAGGCAACGGTGACGGTGGTAGTAGGGGTGCAACTAGGCTCTGACTAGGACTGGGTATTGACATAATTCGCTTCTTTAGGAGATCCTCCTTCCCCTCCACCACCTCCAGAGAACGATCTAGAGAGTAGACTCAATGCATTGAAGCGATGACGATCACGTGAGGGTAGCTGTGCAATTCTGTAGAAGTTCAGGAGGAACCACTGTAACCCCTCCCATCTAGATTGGAGCCTTCTGATAATCAGCAACAATATTTGCATCACCCTCATTTCTACTCAGCATGTTATCATGTGCACCTTCTTGTGTTGCGGCTATCGACTTGTTCTATCAGCCCTAGTATGATTTCTCCTGCATGGACTCCGGCGCAGGAGCTCCTGTAGATCGTCTCAAGGTGCTGGGTGCATCGTTGCTAGACCCTCTGACTCCGATACCTAGGAGGAGCTCCTTCAGCGGCGGGTTGTTGTGAGACATCCCCTTCTACTAACTCGCACTATACCTTCCTTTCTCTAGTGCAGTAGTAAGGTGATGGCTTCCTGTACAGTTGTATTGGTGAGAAGTCAATGTAACTGCCTGGGGGTGATTCAGGCACGGCTAGTGTGGTTCGTAACGGGGCCTTGTACATATGAGGAAATAATCGTGCCAGTGGAGGTCCGAATGTCCTATTCAAGCTTTATCTCAACACTAGACTTTGTGGTAGCTGAGATGAGTAGGGGTACTCAGTATCATTCAGGTCTAATGTTCATTCTCGCGGAGACACTCCGGCAGGGCGTGAGAACAACGGTGCCGTTATAAGGAAACATACGTAGGGAAATAGTATACCACTACGTATGGCTCGTTAGTCGACCTTTTAGGTATGTTTTTGTGGTTATTCAGAATACAGCTGGCTTGATGATGACTTCCACTCCTTCAACTTCGACACGTCTACTTGGGCATCTATTGAGGTCATTCCAGTAGCATTCCGCCCGGCGCGAGATTCATCATAAACCTGAGCAAGGCTCATATCGATGAAAACGAGATGATACAATCGTGTTGTAGGCAGGCATCATAACTCGGCGACCTCATCGCCCGGGATATGAGGCCATCGTGGCTCACGGCTCCTTGTGGATACATCTAGGAGGGTGCTAGGGGGCGGGGGACAATCAATGACTTGACGACCGTTTTAGTGAGTGAAGCGGATAGAGTAGAAGCGATGACGAAATGAGTATGCTTAGAAAAGGTCGCGGTCGCAAATCTACATCGAACATCAGGTACGTGAAGCTAGGTAGTCGGCCCAGGACGGAGCCTGTCAGGAATGGGAGACAAGGCGTCAAGTGCTGTGCAGCGTGCGGAGTTGGTGATAATAAAACACAAAAAGTATTCACGTTGGCAATGTCCTTAACTACTTGAATATTCATGTTATATCTTGTGTGTATGAGAACTAAACAAGTGAGTGTATACTGTCGTCTCTATATACCTATTTCAAACTACGGTTTTGGGTTATCAGTAGTGCAGAGCTTCTTCTAGTCTGCCCTGAGCCAAGTCCATGGTCTCGCGTCTATTGATCGAGATGATGGAGGAAAGAAAGGGGATCTTCCTCGAGCGAGCGGAGCGATTATTACACTTGAAGTTTTTTTAACATGGCAGGAGAACGTCGAGTTAGACACAGAATCCTCTCGTGGCTTCCACCGGTCATCATCGTTGCCCTGGGGACCACGATATCGTGGAGTATGGCTATGCATCTAGGAACAGTTCCATCACCAAGTACTCTCCCAGGTGGTACAGTGGATATAGGTTCTCATGTTTTAGCTTCCAGTCGCGATTCCCCCTCGGTTGCCGATAACAAACAGCTCTTCTCTGGCGAGTAAGGAGGGATGCGATATGAGTTCTTCATTTCGATCCAGTCTCTTCTCTTGACTACATGTAGTCACTATGAGTCCTATCTGTTCAGGTGGGCGATCGGAAGCCTCCATCAGTGCTCCCCAAGGCCGATACGAGAGGACTTTTCCTCGTGGGATGTGGATGCCTATCAAGTGCAACACTGCCCGCCGAAGGATAGCAGAGGTAGAAGACTAGCATCCGTTATTCACCAGCTTCGGGGTCGACTAGTGGCTCGAGTCAGTAGCCTCAGCTAGAGGCCCTTTAGTACCCCACCTCCAAATTGGGGAGCGGACGCCTAGAGCTCGCACTCGTAATTAGCCTACGATTACGAACGGAAACCTCTGTCACTCCCTCAGGCAGACTCCTAGCTGTTCATCGGAGTATTACCTGCTCATATGCTTCAGGTGCTGCATATCACTTCGTACTAGCCAACTCGACACATCCTCTCAATAACATCTGCGATGAGGATACTGGACTTTGCCACCTCCCGAAGGAGGCATCTACCGGGTGTTCGACTGATTTCTACGCTCTAGACGAGTACCCACGAGTACTCTCATCGGAAGAGGTGGAGTATCCGAATCAGAAGCCTCGGTCAAAGATGAATCTCCATGGAGGTTATTTCCAGCTAACTCATGATGCGCTTATACTTCATAACTGTTCGACCACCGTCGAATGGACTATCTTCCACTTGCGACGCATACCCAGCAAAGCAGCTCACAAGTCAGTAACCCGGCGTGAAGCGACTCTTGCTCTCAGCGGCGTCTTTGGGGCCGCTTTTCAGCCAGCGTCCCATGAGGGACGAAATAGAGCTGCATATAACACCGACCACGTGACGTTGATTATAATAGATGCCATCAGCCGAGCCCACTTCATGAGAACTTTTCAAAAAACTAGAGAATACGTTGAAGGTAAACGAGCTGCTCGGGAGGGTTATGTGATGGGTGGATATATCGGGACTGGTAAATTTACTATGCTGGCCATGACATCTTTCCAAATCGGTTATTTTAACCCGTTGACGCCTCTCATGGAAATTGCTACGAATGATGGGAGGACGAAAGGCCTGGTAGGTGTACAGGGTTGGATTCAGGGTTTATGGCATCTTTCGTTGTCTCCTGAGCCATGCTTCTCCATTGATATACCCGTCTGTATCAGGCGCAATATGCAAGGGAGGCTGGTATGATATCTGCTGTATGTTCCGGTATCCATGGATTCAATTTACTCGCTTACAATTGGAAGGATGGTCAACTCGGCCCCCATCACTATTTGAATGCTCTGGAGGATAAAGTCGTTGGACTGTCAAAGATATATGAAGGAAAGACTGTTCTCGAATGTACCGGCAATCTTCGTCAAGAGGAGTACTGCCTTCCCGTCGGGAAGAGTGTCGCCATGGCGTATGAGGGGAGGGAAGGTGTCCGCCTCTTCCAACAGTTGTATATGATGGGCAACCATCAAGGCGATCAACTGTATGGTGTTGGTTGGGATGATGAGCTTGTTGAATACCTCGAGTGGCAGGATGACTTCTACACTAGGTTGGGTCAACGGCATACTACAATTGTTATGAGCGATCATGGCAACCAGTGGGCTGGTCATAAGGCTGCTGCCAACGAGAGATACTCACCCTTGGCCATAATTCTATCCAATCAGGAGTTCCCCCCTGATGTGCATCAAGTTCTCTCATATAACGAGCTTGCTTTGATCACAAGTATCGATCTTCATAACACAGTCCTGGCCCTCATGGACGGAGAGATCCTGCCAGTTAGCTGTAGTTAGTAGACGAATCACCGCTGTCGAATTTGTTGGTTTCTGTTCAGGTCGGCGGGAATCACCCAACTGCGACGTTTCTATCCGGAACATATTCACAACGAAGGTACCAGACAGGGGTCCTCGGCAGATGGGCATACCAACAAAGTAAAGCAGTGTTATATGACTTCAGTGTTGCTATCTCCAGGGTTGTTCCTTTTCTTTCAGAGCTTCTCCTTGTTCCGTAGAATGGGGGGAAGAGTCTTCAAGTGTCCCCCACGGTATTATTGAGCACATCATCTCCTTCATCAATTCTCAACACTCACCAGGATCAGCTTGCCTCGATCTCGAGCTTTCTCCTGAATTCACTCCGACTATACGTCGAACGACTGATGAGTCCAACGGGATTGTCCGCTTACGGCTACAGGCGCGGGACTTGCCAACGGTATCGATGCTATATGATGTGGAACTCATTGGAGACACCCCTCAATTCGCTGAACCCAGAGAGACTTATATGAGTTTTCAAGCCTGCATGCCAAAAGATACATCATCCTTCAACAAGCGGACCTGCCTCTGCGACAAGTTTTCCACTTGATGTAGTGCTATTTTAATATGCAAAAATTCTTCCATTGCTCTAAGGTAAACACTTCCTGTCTTACTCGCATACTGTTCTTCTTCTCTTTTCTTAATAAGAAAAGGGGAGTGTCTCAAACTGTCAAACTTAGATGTGTATTGTCAAAGTTGGGCGCGTATTGTCATTCTTGGATGAGATAGTGTCAATCTTGGACTCAATAAATCGAGGGTATGTCAAAGTTGGATATGTACTTTCAAACTTGGACCCAACAAACCGAAGGTGGCCATTGGCACAGTGCCAAAGATGAATGTATATTTTCAAAGTTGCACCCGATATTTCGCGCTTATGTCAAACATGAATACGTATTGACAATACGGTATTGTCAATTTTGGATGTGACACTGACATAGTTGCATGTGCATCTGTCAAACTTGTACGGGAAAAGGTGTAGTCCTTATCAAGAAGTTCTTGACATGAACGACATAGTTGGCCGCTCGTTCGCCCAACGGCGGAATGGACCCTACGGCAAGAGCCCAAACTAACGATGTTCTACAGTGGAGAATTCTCGAGCTTGTTTCTGCTATGCACAATCACATAGAGCACGTCATTGACGTGACGTCGAGATCCCCGCCGGTCAACCTCTCTAGTACGGTTCCATCTGTAGGAACATGCATAGTTACCTTTCCTGGGCCACCTTGAATAGCTCGTTAGTACCGCAATACCGCCAAACGGATTATCCACACTCGATAAATCTTTGGCGAAGTACGATTCAGTGTGGCCGATATATCCAGAGTACGCTTGACTGGACCACTGGAAGGTTTGAACGTAAAGATGTCGCGTAATAGTAAGACGTTGCCACTGACAACTTGTCAGTGTGACAACATGAGAATGGGGTGTTCACTGATAAGCGAGCTGATGCTCGGTGCAGAGTCGGCCTGCCACTGGTCACGGTTACAGAAACAGCATCACGTCTAATCGATGGTAGATCATCTATCTGATCACAGCAGACTATCTGGTGGCAGAATGGCGCCCTGAACTGCGTATGTCCAACCCCGATATGATATCTTCCGTCAGATATGACATAAACTGATCCTCTGTCCAGACAGAGAATTTTATATTCCAGGGGGCAATATTTATTGTTTTTGAGCATCACTTGGAAGAACACCACTACTGCTAGGAGCCCGTTTGCATTCTTCAGGCTGCGAGCGAACAACAGCGTAACTCGAGACCCTCTGGGGCAGGTTAGAATTTCTATGAGCATTTCCTTTCGTATTTCGCGCATCGCTTCCTTGGCAACTCAGCGAGAACCGCTGCTTCCGTCAAGCTGCAATCCTTATACCCAGAGCGTATTTCGGCCATCATGACGACACCAAGCTGCGTACATTTCGGGGTCATGACCGGTCCCTTGTGACCCCACATCCATTGTCTCGGCCACCAGCATAACCCGAGCTAGATCAGCACGATCGTCGTGCCACGACGTAGTTGGCCGCTCGTTCGCCCAACGACATTCGGTCGGTCACTTGTCAGCGGTTTGCAGAGTTCGTACCTCGCGGAATGGACTCTACGGCAAGAGCTCGAACTAACGACATTCTACGATGGAGAATTCCGAACTTATTTCTGATAAGCACAATCACATTGAGCACGTCGAGATCCCCGTCGGCCAACCACTCTAGTACTGTTCCAGCTGTGGGAGCATCCATGGTTACCTTCCCTGGGCCACCCTGAATAGCCCCGTTAGGACCGCGACACGGCCTAACTGATTATCCACACTTGATAAATCTTCAGGGAAGTAAGATTCAGTGTGACCAATATATCCGGAGTACGCTTGACTAGATCACTGAGGTTTGAACGCAAAGATGTCGCGAACTCGTAGGACGTTGTCAGCATGACAACATGGGAATGTGGTGTTCGCTGATAAGCGAGCTGATGCTCGGTGCAGAGTAGGCCTGCTACTGGTTACGATTGCAGAAACAGCATCACACCTAATATATGATGTATCATCTATCTGATCGCAGCAGACTATCTGGTGGCAAAATGGCGCCATGAACTACGTATATCCAACTCCGATATGATATCTTCTGCCAGATACGACAAATTGATCCAGGATCAGAGGACCTCTGCCCAGACAGAGAGCTCCATTTTCCATGGGACAATGTGTATTGTTTTTGAGCATCACTTGAAAGAAGGTTCATCTTTTGGCTCCCAAAATGTCCTCCCCCGACTCGCGGCCTTCACGTGGCGAACCGGATGAGCCGCTCGCTGTCTCTTCGACAGCTGATGCGGTGACCGACAGCAAGCGGAGAGGACGACGCCAGGGGACGCGATCACAAGACGCCCTGAGGAGGCGTCGGGCGGCAAGAGCTGCCAGGCGTCGACTCAAGCGCCAGCGTACCCGGGCACATCGCGATAGTTCTGAGAGGCGTAGGACACCCTCAGTTACTGCGAACTACAGTCCTCATAGTGGTGGATCCACCGGGTCGTACTTCTGTAGGGACGTAGACCCCAGTGTGATACGCATGTACACCTGGAACGTACGTTCTCAATTAGGATACGCCAACAGGTTGGCAGTCGTTGAGTCCTTGAAGGCGATCGGGAGTGATGTCCCAATAATCGCCCTACAGGAAACTCGACTACGAGAGGAAGTGCAAGGAGAATCGCTAGGGGACCACATCCTCTACAGCTCTCCTGCACTACGCGGAATCGGTGGAGTGGGTTTCCTAGTCCATCCCAATGTCAGGGTTCAGTCGTGGGTATCTGTTTCTAACAGAATAGCTCACATCACGCTGAACAGTGGCATAACCATTGTTGTGTGCTACGCTCCCACAGAGGTAGCGCCGCAGGGTCAAAAAGATGAGTTTTGGGATGCTGTCGAAGAAGTGGTGAGACTAGAACGTCCGGAAATTGTCTGCGGTGACTTCAACGCCAGGCTAGGTTCAGATCTCGCAAGGGATCCGATCCACGGCCTCGGCAAGGCTTATGCCTATGAGGAGACCAATGACAATGGATGGAGACTAGTCATGCTTGCTGCTGCCTCACATATGGGCCATGCAGCGAGTCATTTCCTCAAGCCCCAAACTCACCTTGGGACGTGGCATAGCCCGGTAGAGAAGTGCTGGCATCAGCTAGATCACTTCCTGATCCGGAGCAACAGGAAACTACAAGTGCTGGATGTTCGTGTGAGACGGACAGTCATGGGGTCATCTGATCACTGTGCACTAGAACTCTCATTTCGTAACACAGCAACTTGTCGGCCCACCCGGCGTCTGCAAGGACGGAAACTAGCCTCACGTTCTATCGTTGATAGACGGGCTTTTAATGCGAAGGTCCGCGAAAAGGAAGCCCAGCATGAGTTCGAGATGGATATGATCCATACTTGTCCTCAGGATGGTGCCTACTCAGACGTAGTCCATGCATTTCAAGCTTCCATGCGTAAGCTGGATGGGGTGAAATCTTGTCCTGGAAAGCCCTGGTTCTCTGCATCTCATGTCGGAGCTGCAGTTAGCGAGAAGAGACTGAAATGGAAGGCATTCCTATCTAGGAAGACGCCAGAAGCTTTCAAGTCATACCGCGAAGCTCGCAGTAACGTGGTTGCAGTAGTGAAAAA